AAAATATAAATATATAAATATATATATATATATATAAATTTATATGATGTGAGATGATTAATAAATAATTTTTTTCTTGTCAAATAATAAGTAACATGTTTAAATATTTAGATTTAATTTATTTTTATTCATAAAAAATTATAAAAATAATAATAAAGTAATGATCTATCATATTCACTACATTTAGCGGATTAACTACTAACAACAAAACAATTAAATATTTAGGATTAATATATTTAAATCACTTAGATATATGTACCTTCATATATATATATATATATATATATATATATAAGTGAAATAAGAATTTTAAGTGATTAGTTAAACAATTACAACAAAATTATATACTATCATTAACAGTAGCACTAAGTTATTTGCCAACAACATGGCTCCAAAAGTCATTGACATCTAACGTATCCTTACCCTGTTTTCATGTAAACATGATCATTGTAACTCAATCACTAGGAAACATGTAAGGATAAACTAGAGTACAAAGAATACAACATGGTACAAGTATCTATACTAATCACTAACATGTACACCATACACAATCCCACCACATGGATTACAACACTTTCAACACCACAACTCAACATAACATTAAACAAGTTTGAAAGAGAAGAAATTTAAGCATATCAAACTTACATCACAACCATGTCATCCAACATACAACATCATATAGCATATGAACAATCACCATAATAACACATTATATGCATACACCTTAACTAATGTGTCATCACGCATTAACTTATGAAGATATCCTATAGTAGAATGAGAAGTCTAAGTGACTTGACCCTACCAAACTAATCTTTTTTACACTTGCTAGGTCAACATCCAAATTGGGATACCAATCCCAAAAAATATGGTTTCTTGAATATCGTCACTTAAACAGGGAAGTCTAGTATTTTTGTTAGGATAAAACAGTTTATGTATGAGTCTTGCATGACATTTTCTTGCAACACTAAGCTCCTTAAGGATTTATCTCATTAACTATCCTCCAAATACTATACCATTCTAGTACTCAGTTAGGGACTAAATCTCCGACCTTCTACTTTACTCAGTTAGTCACTTTATACACATATGTCTTGACTTTACCCACATACAGATCAACATTGTTCACTTGTAGACAATATGTCTTGACTTGACCTACATACTGCATCAATTAATGTTTTAGAGGAGACTCAATCCACTCCAAGAGATAACACCTACTCATGGAGGATTTTTCAACTATTGAACTCACAAAGTACCGCACCAATATCCATGCAATGGGATATCCAACTTTCGAAAATAACCTATCATCTAGTCCTTAGTCAATCAACATGCCTAAATGCCAATAGCATTCTCGGCATCACACATCAACAGGTCAACAATATTCAACATATTATGCCTAAATGCTTAAAGCATTCTCAACATCACACCTCAACAATATTCATCTATATGCATTAATCCAGGTCAATGGATATATAGCTAATAATATTAATCAATTTACAATACACCCTTGCATCTCAACAATTTAATCATATAACCATCTACATATATCATAAATGAGACAACCAAATTTACAAAGCATAGCATGCCCAGTGTTATCCATCCTACGCCTAGCGCCATTGAGGCAAAGGATTTATTTTCCTACCCACCATCGACACCATTCAAAACCTACATTCGGCGTGGATGAGGTAGGGAACCCTTGGGCCTTCACACCTAGTGTGACAAAGCCCCACACTGAACCCATATCGAGAGCCTCACATTTGTTGCTCAACATCAATCTAAGTAGAGTCAATTCTCTCATTTCATGCTTAGTTCCATTCAAAACATGCCAACGTCATTTCAATCAGAGATAATTTTCTCTCTTCATGCCTGATGTCACTTCGACATGAGTAAAACAAAGAGCCTTTTGAAACCACGTCCGGTGCTATGAAGGCACACTTGACACCGTGATGAATTCTACTCTTAGCAGACCACAAATTTGGCTCAAGCCACCTAAAAAATAGAAAATCCAAGCATGCAACATGTGCTAGCATATGGACACTTCAAGCAACTAAAAAACCTTTGTAAACTCAACATGTAACATCAAACAAAGAAAAATCATAAAAAAGGAACTTCAACATGTTTCAATAGTTCAAACTTCAATTCTTTCATCATATGATATGTAATTCAACAAATGCAACAAAACTTGATGACAATCAAACAACATACAACTCATAAAGAATAAGTTTCTAACTTCACTTACTTTTGAGTTGAAGTGAATTGAGGAAAAAAATAAGGATTAGCTCCGAGCTTCTCTAGGAAACTATGCACGACACAACCTCGATTCTCAACAAGGAGCTTCGAATCACCACTCAAGAATGAATCAAGGATGATCTCCTACACCTTTAGGGAGCCTAGAAAGTAGAAGAAGAAGATTAGAACTTTAGAGTCTTTCTCTCTAATTTATATCTCTAGGTTATCTTAGAAATGAGTTTATGAGGTTTAATTCTAAAAAAACCTTGTATATTTCTTCTATTAGGGTCAAGTGGATCTCTATCAAGAGAAATCCTCTTAAACACCTAAAAACTCCTTTGGAGTTTCTTAATTTCCAGAATCTCTCTGTTGGGATACAAACAAGTCCCACATCGATAAAATAAGAAAAAAATAACAACTTATAAAGTACACACATACTTCAATGTTAGAGAGGCCTTTTGGGTAATGACTAAAGCAAAAACCGTGAGGGCTTAGGCCCAAAGCGGACAATATCCCCTCAAAAAAATACCATAACATAACCCCAATAGTGGTATTAGAGTCGCAAGGTTGGATGCGGATGCGGTAACAACCCTCATAACCCCCTGCATGAAAGGTTAGGTCCCTTGTTTGAGGGGAGGATTGTTGGGATACAAACAAGTCCCACATCAATAAAATAAGAGAAAAAATAATAACTTATAAAGTACACGCATACTCCAATATTAGAGAGGCCTTTTGGGTAATGACCAAAGCAAAAACGTGAGGGCTTAGGCCCAAAGCGGACAATATCTCATCATTATGGAGTATACTTGTGTAATAATCTTATAAAAATAACTTTCATAAAATATTCACTCAGATAAATACCATAAAATAATCCTAAAACACTCTCAACATCACCTCAAAACATCACAATATATAATTATCACTAAAAAACAATAATTAATAAAAGCTTACAATATTATTGATAAAGATCAAATATAACATCTATTCCAATCCATTCCTTCCAATATTAAGCTAAGTTTAATCTCTAAGTATTTGTATATGAAAAAAGTATTTATAAAAAGAAATTCATTTTTTAAATGAATATTAACGGTTCAAAAGATTATTATTCGACTTCTAGACTGAGATATCCTAAATTTGTGACACCCTTACTACCCCAACACATATATAATATTCCCGAGTACTTGGTTAAGGGAATAACCCTCGACCTCATACCCCCCCCCAACACACACACAAAAACACATAGACCACAAAGTTATCACAATTTTGGTGGCTTTCCAATAATAAATTATTTATCTTTTATCTATAACCTTCAGTATAACAATCATCCTGCTATAGCATTTCTGAAGTTAGCCATTTTGATTGCCCAGAATTGATAACTTTGCTAAGGATCAATATTTAATGCAAAATTGATCCCCCAGCATCATGCCATCATGTGACATTTAGATGAAACTTCAAGTGTAAATTAAGAAGAAAAAAATTCTTACCTTCAAGACAGGTCGGGCAAACATCCTCCTCTTCAATTTGAGACTCACTTCCAACATTTTTAATTCTCATAGGACATAAATTTGGATAATTAGAACATAAAGCTCGAGACTAAAGGTTTTCCAGAACACTAAAGAAGCAAAAGCCAGCAATCTCTGCATACGACTTCAATTATGAGTACTTTTCACATTATATGGTCCTGAACAAAAAAAACAATAGAGAGGAAGCTTAACAATACTAACAAAGAAAACAGCACAAGCTCCTGAAACTGTAACAGGTATGTTTTCCACTTCACAAGTATGGAATTCCAGGCAAAACTAATGCATCGGGACATCAAATTCAAACTATGGAACAAACCACATAAGACAGGGTCCAAAAGTGAAACAAAAGAAAATGAGAGAATGGAAGAGAAGATGGAGTTTGGAGTTAGAGACATACCACAGTCAAAAAGTTCTGTACGAAGCAACTAAGACACACACAGTTCCTATATACAGGACTATTTGGATTCATGTAATCTTCAAAATTATCAACATTCAAACAGCAACAAACTGAACCCATTGTTTCAGCTTCAATATCCCTCTCTCTTTCAGCTTAATTTTTTCTCGCTCTTCAACTCAACAGATCACCAAAACATTGATGCCGCTAAATGCAAGCTTTGAGAAAAGGAGACCCCAGCAGCACTGGCCAATAACAATGCGTTCATAAATAAATAAAGGAGAGAGGATTCTAAGCTCGCAGAAGTCCAATTGCCTCCGCAAACCAGTACCCTCCCTCTTCTGTTCAGATGATCTGTAATATGGATAAGCAAACTTTGATTCTCTTGATCACCTGAAACATACACCAAAACTGCGTAAGTATCACTAAAACCATTTGGGAAAGTTGAAGCATAAGCTTTCAGTCATGCAATTTGACAAATCAGAATAAAATAAATCTCTAAAGGCCTGCATTCAGCAATGCAATTCAACTAATGCTGATGCTTCAAATCCAAAGCATCATGTATACAAATTACAAAACATCATTGGCAAATCAAGAGTCCAAAATAAGATCAACATACTGTTCTCCAGGGGTAAAAAAAAAAGTACAATAAAACTTAGAGAACAACAAAAACATGAAAAAAAGACTAATGCAAATTTGAGTGTTTCAAGGAAAAGCTATAATCTGTTTGCAATGTTCCTTCAAACTCTGGCAAAAATGATTCGTTACTTCACTGGTAAGCCATGCTAGTACATCAACCAGCATAAGGATCATCATTTGCCTTTTAGCTGAAAAATCGCAATCACTAATTTTACTATTTATTTAGACAACAACCTTAAACATGGAAGCAAACCAGGCCCTCCATCCTAGGAATTGAAACATTAAAACATAAAATAAAGAGGCAAAATTACACGCATCAATTGTCTAGAAAAATACACCTGAATTTCCCAAAAAAGAATTAAAAAAATATAATAATAAAAAAAGCCCAAGTTGTTGAACCCCGTGAAAGAAAAAATAAGATACCCAGTCGCGATTATCAAATAAGAAGGCAACAATACGATCAAAAACGGAAGAGGGTGTGCGAGAAAACGACAAAGGTGGAATTTTGAAGAGGAAAAAAAAAGGTACCTGAGAGAGAGTTTTGAATGAAATTGTGGTTGGGGGAAGAGAAGGATAGAGAGATGAAGAAGATTGAGATTGTTAATCGAGTTTTCTAAAAGGGGGGTTTTGGAGTTTTCGGGAAATTTTGATAGAACGAATGATTCGCCAGATCAGAGGAAGCAAAACACTTCTCTTTCTCTCTCTTGTGTATGATATCCCTTCTTTCGGTGGGTGGGTGGTGGAATCTTTAACCCTTCCAAACTTTATGTTATTCAAATTCTGAAGGACAGTGACTCTTTTTTTTTCTAATTAAAATTAAAAAATATTGGTAACATACTCATTCATGACACAGTGACACATGTTGTCCCTCCGATCATCTTATACTCCAACAAGTGCAAACATCCCTAAGAACATTTTTCTCCAGCTTTTTTTTTTTAATGAAATTATTTTATCTTTTAAATGAATATTTTTATTAAATAATTGTAAATTGTATTTTTATTGCAGATAAAAAATTCTTACTACTCATATAATTATTATTTCTTTCTTTCTTTATATTTCTTATTTTTCATTTCGTAATCTTTATTTTCTCTCACTGTATTCGATACGTAATTGTTTTTATAGTTTTTTTTATAAAAAATAAATAAAGATAAGAAAAGTTTTGATTTCACTAATATAATATTATCATCACACGTCTACATAAGGGGAAAATGTTGAGTATTGAAGTAATAGTAACAATAAGAAATGCGATAAACAAATTATCCCATACACTTTTTTCAACATATTTTTTTATAATTAGTTAAAATTCTAACCAAATAGAATAAGTATGATAAAATAATATATTACTAATACTCTTGTTATCGATAATTCAAATGTATTTTTTTAAGATTAAAACGATAATAAATAATTAAAATTTAAGAATTAAATTGAATATAATATATGTACCAACATTATAAGTCTTAATAAAGTAAAGGAAAAAAGTTAATTTTTATTTTTTTTGGTTGACTTTAGTATATGTGTCTTCTTTTTTTTATACATGTGATTAACTCATGTATGACATATATTGTTTACTTATGTGCTATGCAAATCCGCAAATAACATGTTAATTAAAGATAAATATTAACTTTAATAATAGTAAATTAATATATGGATAGTAGTATAATGATATTTTCACCTTTTAAAAACTTTATTCTTTAATTTTTATGTTTTTTTAAAAATACAATAAATTACACCTTTATTCTTTATTTGTTGGGGTTGATTTAATAGGGAAAAGATGAATTAGAGTGGATTTTTTATATAAAAAAAGACTTATGTTTGATAAAAGGTATTTAAAAGAAATTGTGAAGAATTAAAAGTGATTTTTCTTATTATTTTTTTATACATTATCAATTATGGAAATTCTTGTGAAATTTGTGAAACAATCATCTAAATTTTTCAAGCTAAACTCATGTGTATTTATTTAATTATTTGTCACTCTCATGACTCATACGAAGTAACTCTATGAACAAAAGTTTATTGTCATATGATGTTTCTAGAAGTACAATATTCAATTATGAATATTTCATATTTCATTATGATCACTATTATGCATTTTAAATATTAAAACACTCATCATATTCAAAATATTCAATTATGTTTGGATAATAATGGATTATAGAACTCATCATATTCCACTATATTTAAATGTTAATGCATTATATAATTAATACAAAAAAGGATTAAAGTAGCATAATTAATTATATTATTAAATTATATACAAAAAATATTTTAATTCAAAATATATATAATTATAAAAAGTAAAATAAATACAAAATTATTTATATTATCTATTTATTTATATATAAAAAATGAATTATATAAAATATTAATTTTCTTTTATTTCTCACACGATTCCATCTTATCAAAGAACTACTGATTTCACAATATTTCAATTTATGTCTTATCTATTTTTTTATTAAATTAATTTTTTTACCAATTTGCTCCCATTTTCTTCGATTTCTTGCCCTCTTCAAACAATTAAAATATCGAATATCCTCGCAACAATTTCAAATTTCAAAGCATATTATAATGCTTTTATAAAATAATATTTGATGAGCCGGCACGTCATGATTACATTTCGTAATTATTTGTGACAAGTTTTGCCTAATATTAAATTTATTTATGACTATATCTTTATACTAAAATAGTCAAAAACATCGTAATATTATTAATAAAGGATGGAGAAGTCTATAATAATTTATATTATAATTTGTACAATATTATTTACTTCTTCTGAATTTTTTAATTATAATCCATTTGTTTAAATTTTAAAAATAAAATTACTTTTTAAAATAAATAAGAGTTATTTTTAAATAATAGATAATTATTTAGAAAAATGAATTTAGACAAACTTAAAAAATATAGAAATACTTATCAAGTTGTTGAACCCCGTGAAAGAAAAAATAAGATACCCAGTCGCGATTATCAAATAAGAAGGCAACAATACGATCAAAAACGGAAGAGGGTGTGCGAGAAAACGACAAAGGTGGAATTTTGAAGAGGAAAAAAAAAGGTACCTGAGAGAGAGTTTTGAATGAAATTGTGGTTGGGGGAAGAGAAGGATAGAGAGATGAAGAAGATTGAGATTGTTAATCGAGTTTTCTAAAAGGGGGGTTTTGGAGTTTTCGGGAAATTTTGATAGAACGAATGATTCGCCAGATCAGAGGAAGCAAAACACTTCTCTTTCTCTCTCTTGTGTATGATATCCCTTCTTTCGGTGGGTGGGTGGTGGAATCTTTAACCCTTCCAAACTTTATGTTATTCAAATTCTGAAGGACAGTGACTCTTTTTTTTTCTAATTAAAATTAAAAAATATTGGTAACATACTCATTCATGACACAGTGACACATGTTGTCCCTCCGATCATCTTATACTCCAACAAGTGCAAACATCCCTAAGAACATTTTTCTCCAGCTTTTTTTTTTTAATGAAATTATTTTATCTTTTAAATGAATATTTTTATTAAATAATTGTAAATTGTATTTTTATTGCAGATAAAAAATTCTTACTACTCATATAATTATTATTTCTTTCTTTCTTTATATTTCTTATTTTTCATTTCGTAATCTTTATTTTCTCTCACTGTATTCGATACGTAATTGTTTTTATAGTTTTTTTTATAAAAAATAAATAAAGATAAGAAAAGTTTTGATTTCACTAATATAATATTATCATCACACGTCTACATAAGGGGAAAATGTTGAGTATTGAAGTAATAGTAACAATAAGAAATGCGATAAACAAATTATCCCATACACTTTTTTCAACATATTTTTTTATAATTAGTTAAAATTCTAACCAAATAGAATAAGTATGATAAAATAATATATTACTAATACTCTTGTTATCGATAATTCAAATGTATTTTTTTAAGATTAAAACGATAATAAATAATTAAAATTTAAGAATTAAATTGAATATAATATATGTACCAACATTATAAGTCTTAATAAAGTAAAGGAAAAAAGTTAATTTTTATTTTTTTTGGTTGACTTTAGTATATGTGTCTTCTTTTTTTTATACATGTGATTAACTCATGTATGACATATATTGTTTACTTATGTGCTATGCAAATCCGCAAATAACATGTTAATTAAAGATAAATATTAACTTTAATAATAGTAAATTAATATATGGATAGTAGTATAATGATATTTTCACCTTTTAAAAACTTTATTCTTTAATTTTTATGTTTTTTTAAAAATACAATAAATTACACCTTTATTCTTTATTTGTTGGGGTTGATTTAATAGGGAAAAGATGAATTAGAGTGGATTTTTTATATAAAAAAAGACTTATGTTTGATAAAAGGTATTTAAAAGAAATTGTGAAGAATTAAAAGTGATTTTTCTTATTATTTTTTTATACATTATCAATTATGGAAATTCTTGTGAAATTTGTGAAACAATCATCTAAATTTTTCAAGCTAAACTCATGTGTATTTATTTAATTATTTGTCACTCTCATGACTCATACGAAGTAACTCTATGAACAAAAGTTTATTGTCATATGATGTTTCTAGAAGTACAATATTCAATTATGAATATTTCATATTTCATTATGATCACTATTATGCATTTTAAATATTAAAACACTCATCATATTCAAAATATTCAATTATGTTTGGATAATAATGGATTATAGAACTCATCATATTCCACTATATTTAAATGTTAATGCATTATATAATTAATACAAAAAAGGATTAAAGTAGCATAATTAATTATATTATTAAATTATATACAAAAAATATTTTAATTCAAAATATATATAATTATAAAAAGTAAAATAAATACAAAATTATTTATATTATCTATTTATTTATATATAAAAAATGAATTATATAAAATATTAATTTTCTTTTATTTCTCACACGATTCCATCTTATCAAAGAACTACTGATTTCACAATATTTCAATTTATGTCTTATCTATTTTTTTATTAAATTAATTTTTTTACCAATTTGCTCCCATTTTCTTCGATTTCTTGCCCTCTTCAAACAATTAAAATATCGAATATCCTCGCAACAATTTCAAATTTCAAAGCATATTATAATGCTTTTATAAAATAATATTTGATGAGCCGGCACGTCATGATTACATTTCGTAATTATTTGTGACAAGTTTTGCCTAATATTAAATTTATTTATGACTATATCTTTATACTAAAATAGTCAAAAACATCGTAATATTATTAATAAAGGATGGAGAAGTCTATAATAATTTATATTATAATTTGTACAATATTATTTACTTCTTCTGAATTTTTTAATTATAATCCATTTGTTTAAATTTTAAAAATAAAATTACTTTTTAAAATAAATAAGAGTTATTTTTAAATAATAGATAATTATTTAGAAAAATGAATTTAGACAAACTTAAAAAATATAGAAATACTTATTTTATTAAAAAAAATACTTTTTAAGAGAGAAAAAATCAAATGCACAAACCTATTATTCTCTGCTTTTTTAGTTGCACTTATACAAGTATCATTTTTCTAAATAATAATCTATCACATTAGTAAAAATATGAATAAACTAACAATTAGACTCTTAAAATATTACTTCTCATATATAATTCTTAAAATAATAAAATTATACAAATAATTTCAAAAAATTTAGTCCTTACTCTCTCATCCATAAATTTTTAATATTTTAAAAGTTACTTATATAATTTTGTTTTTAAGAACTATTTATTTTCTACTATTTCATATAATAAAAGTGTA